GCAAGAATCGGGGGCCATTGGAGCTTTTTTTTTATTTTAAATGAAAAAGTGTCCAAAGCGGGAATCGAACCCGGGTCGTAGTGGTCGAAAACCAAACGGTTTAACCAGCCTTCCACCGACCCCCCAATATGAATAAATTAACAATGTATCAGAAGTATGTGATTCTTTAAAAATTGGACACGTAACATCATTGTTATGATAGTGATTGGTAAAATCGTCTTTAAAAAAAAGCGTGAAATTACACAAAAACAAAATCGGTAGTAAAATAGGCACAACAAGTTGAAATATAAGGTTTAGGTTATGAGATTAGGTTTGGATAATTTTGATTGGATTAGCAAGCCCTCCAAAGAAGCTGTAATATTAGGGTTAACAGTGAGATGAATTATAAAAATGTATTTTTATGATGGGACTTGCATGACCAGCATTCATATTTATATCTTCTTCTTCTTTCTTATCTCCACACTGGGTGAAGTAGAATGTCTTTGTCATTAAGACTGCGAGCACTACTCAGTGGCAGGCCGACTTAACTCCAAAATAAATGGCCGCCTCTGACATGAGGAACAGACGCCATGTACAAGCCGCTCCTAACATGGAGTACAAACGCTGCTCATCCTGTATCCCTGGATTAGGAGCCCTTACAGGGTACTATCAGCATGGCCAGCTGAGCCCAGGTTTTTTTGTGAGCTTGTTACTGCTTCCCCTCCTCCTTTTTCATCCGGGCTTGGGACCGGCAAGGGCGGAGTTTATCATATATAAAATATGGGATATCACACACACACAAGCCTTTATTAAGACATTCCGTCTTATACAGACTCCTGTTAGAAATGAATCTAAAAAGAAATGAGAAGCAGGGGAAGAAATTGAATCCTTGCTCAGAAAAGAGAAAAAGAAGGAAAGAATATCTATGTACAAAAGACTATTACGATGCACTAGCGCGTCCATCTGTTATGAAAATTAGAAAAGGAATATATTGGATCAAAATATCATTTATTTTACTAATATTTCAGTTGGCTGAACGCCAACCTTTATCAAGGTGTTATAACATATTTAATGTGTGTCCTGATAAAGGTTGGCGTTCAGCCAACTGAAATATTGGTAAAATAAATGATATTTTGATCCAATATAGGTCTTCTTATTTACATATTTTTACAAATTTTTTGGTTTACTTTGATACGTGCTGTAAATATTTCATAATTATTATTTTCATCTTTAACTTTTCATAGAATATTATTTAAATAATCATCATCACTTGACATTGTTTACATAAGTTTTTTTTGTAAAATGGCTGAAGTGAGTCAAAAATAAAAAGCTAACAAGACATACATTTTTGATTATTTCTTTCTTTTACATTAAACAACAGCGACAAAAGAAAAACTACATACATCCGCAACATATTTGGCGCAGCTCGACAAGGATACGAAAGAAAATTTAAAAGGTAAATTTTTAATCAAAAGATCATATATTTCAAATTTAAATAACTCATTTAGAGACATCTTTATTGTTATAATGGCAAATTTACATTGATTTGAAAAATATTCTGGCAGTAAGAATAACATAAAGATTGAAAGTTGGATTAAGTTGTATGAAGTAGAAAATTTAAAAGCAAACGATGAAGAAAAAATACACAATCTTATCTACTATTTAGCAGATGAAGCCTTAGAATTTTTTGCTGATGAAATTCTTACAAATGCACATATAAAGAAATGGGAAACTGTAAAAGATAAACTCATTGCCAGATTTAAGCCTTGCATATATAGTCCCATTGTATTAGCATCTAGCAGAAAGCTCCTTGCAAGTGAAACAGTGGAGACTTATTTTAAAGAAAAAATGGACTTACTGAATCAAACATCCTTGAAAAAGGAAGAGAAAATACAACTACTAACAGATGGGCTACCTTTGAATTGGAGGGATGTGTTTGCAGCAGCACAACCTGCAGATCCAACCAAATGGATACAAGTTGCACTTTCTGTTGAGCATAACAGGCAACAAAGTAAGCTAAGCAATTTGCTTAAACCCAAAGTATGCACTCTATCTCAACAGGAAAGATCAGCTTCAAATTGCCCATTTTTTTGCCCAGTTTGCATGAAGAAAAGAATTAAAGTGAAACATTGGTTGAATGAATGTCCTGATTATGACCCAAATTATAAAACAGAGAGATCATCTAAAAATACACAACCAAAACAATTCATTACAACAGTCACAGAATCAACCACAAGTAATGAAACAAACAAAGTAACTTGCTTATCAACTAACAATCCTCCTAATAAATTGATAGACTTTAAAATTTGTGTCAACAAACATCCTTTACAAGCCTTCATGGACACAGGTGCTACCATATCTTTAATAAGTCAAAATTTAATAAAAAGTTTGAATTTACATCCTTTAATAGATTCTCCCATGCAAGTTCAACAAGCTAACTCATTAACCAACACTTTGGGATATGTTCATGTAGACTTGCAAATTCATAATAAAACTAGAAAGGTCAAACTCCATGTAATATCTAATTTAAAATTCCAGCTACTCATTGGCTTGGATATTGCAGAAGACTTTGAACTTATTGTTGACACTAAAGATAAAACAGTGTACACTAAGCAATCAGCAGAAATGGCACTTGTTTGCACAACCTGTAATCAGTTGCAACAACAACAACAAAACCAGATCCAACAGCAACAACAACAACAACAACAACAACAGCAGCAGCAACAACAGAACCAGCTCCAACAACAGCAACAAAACCAGGTCCAACAGCAACAAAACCAGATCCAGCAACAACAGCAGCATCAGCTCCAGCAACAACACCAGATGCAACAGCAGCAGAGACAACAACATCAAAGACAGGCAGATCTCAGCTTCATTGAAGACCCTCAAGATCATCAAAACACAGTGATGGTCAAGAAGAGAGGACTACTCAGGGCTGTGGTGCCTGCTTCTTTTAAAGAACATGTTCTGAAGGAATATCATGATAACATGAGTCACCCATCCATGAACAAAACAGTCAAATTAATAGTTCCTTTATTTTGGTGGTCAGACATGGTACAGGAAATTAAATCTTATGTGAGATCATGCAAGACATGTCAACTGACTAAATCATCTAACCAACCAACTCTAGGACAACTAATAATTCCAGACACAGAACTACAACCAGCTCAAGTAATAAGTGCAGATACAATAGTTATGGGAACAGCAGCTGAAAAGACAAAGCACAAGTACATCCAAGTGTTCATTGATCATCTTACAAGATATGTTTGGGCATTTCCCACTATCAAAAACACAGCTCAAGCAACGCTACAATGTTTCAACAGAATCCTTCAAGTCTCGCTACCCATAAAACATATTATCACTGACAATGGAAAGAACTTTAATTCCAAGGAATTCAAAAGGTGTTTGAAAGTTCATAACATCAAACAAACTTTCACCACACCATACCACCCCCAGAGTAATGGAATGTGCGAAAAGGTTAACGGAACAATCATGACCAAATTAAGAACGGCCTTGCTTGATACACCGAAGGTGAAATGGAGCACACTTTTGCCCAAGGTCATTACTGACTACAACAATACCCCTCATGACGTAACAGGTTTTCCGCCATCTTTTCTACTTTTTGGTTACAATGTGCAGCCACAATTTGCTGATAACCCCTCAACCTCGGTAGAAGATGCTAGAAAACTGGCTATAAAAAGAACTCAACATCATCGTGAGATTTCCAAAAGGAGACATGAATCAAGACATCCCGACATTGAATTTAAAGTTGGAGATCTCGTTCTTAAAAGAATTCCCTACAATGATCCGAAGTTAATTAAAACAGCTCCCAAATACGAAGGACCATTCCAAGTTTTGAGAAGATTGTCTAAAGTGACTTACGAACTCTCTACAACGGATCAAGACAACCCACCAAGAAATCCCACAGGAGATCCTATAAAGGCTCACATCTCTCAATTAAAGTCATTTATTCTCCGTGAATAAATGCATCAAAGCGGGGGTAAATGATACGTGCTGTAAATATTTCATAATTATTATTTTCATCTTTAACTTTTCATAGAATATTATTTCAATAATCATCATCACTTGACATTGTTTACATAAGTTTTTTTGTAAAATGGCTGAAGTGAGTCAAAAATAAAAAGCTAACAAGACATACATTTTTGATTATTTCTTTCTTTTACATTAAACAACAGCGACAAAAGAAAAACTACATACATCCGCAACAACTTTATATCACAGGTGTTTTTTCTTTGGGTTTAATTTTTCCATATTGTGCAGTAAGGGCAGTATAAATTGTTTAATTTCAAAAAGAATCTTGGGGGGGTCGGTGGAAAGAGGGTCTAAACAGTTGGTTTTCGACCTCTACGACCCAGGTTCGATTCCCACATTGGGCACTTTTTTCTGTTTAAAAAAATAAAAAAGTCTCTGGGGGTCGGTGGAAGGCTGGTTAAACCGTTTGGTTTTCGACCACTAGGACCCGGGTTCGATTCCCGCATTGGACACTTTTTTTCTGTTAAAAAAAAAAATGTTCCAATGGCCCCCGATTCTTGCAAAAGTCCAACCCCACCAGCGAGTGCAAGTAACCAAACGGGGCTCTGGCATTTGTAAGTGCAAAGTCGAACTGCTTTTCACATGTGTAGACATGTGGTGCGCTTACAGTAAAAAGCAGTCGCTAACTACCCACCATGATTATCATGGTCTGTACCACGTGTACTAGGGATAAGCAAAAAAAAAAAGTCTCAATGGCCCCCGGTTCTTGCAAAAGTCCAACCCCACCAGCGAGTACAAGTAACCAAACGGGGTTCTGGCACATTTGTAAGTGTAAAGTCGAACTGCTTTTCACATGTGTAGACATGTGGTGCATTTACATTAAAAAGCAGTCACTAACTACCCACCATGATTATCATGGCCTGTACGTGTACTAGGGATAAGCAAAAAAAAAAAAGAATCTTACGCGTCTAAAATAGTTTCTAAATTTCACAAAAGACTATATACATCGTTTTTCGTGCATAAAAAGATTCCCATGCCAGGAATCGAACCCGGGCCTCCTGGGTGAGAACCAGGTATCCTAACTTTTAGACCATGTGGGAGATAGATATGGGATACCTCTGCAAGTAAAGTTTTTAATTCCATCAACATTTAGATAAAAATTATTTTGTTCTCATCAGGAATAAAATTTTTATAAATATTTTTTATTGATAATGCACAATTTGGATTATAGATTATAGCTACAAGAAAATATGACTTAATCCAAATAAATTAATAGTGTGTGACATTTCAGTAACAGCATTGTTACCGGTCTTATTTTCTTGTAATTGATAAAATTAAAAATTTGAATGACTGAAAATTTTCTGTTTTTAAAGAAATCTAAGTAAATTGCCTGTTTGATGATTATAATTCAGGGATGAGATGTGAAAGTTCTTCAATTATGTCATCAAACGAACAAACCATATGCTTTAAAATAAAATTAAGTTTCAGATCTTTTGCTAAGCAATTAAACTAGTTTATATATTGCTAATATATTTTTCTTTTAAAAATAAAAATGACAGCAATGGGCACAAATATAAATATGTTGTAGAATAGTAAAAGCAATATAGTCATGGTAAAAAAAAGTTATCCTCACTGGATAATTATATAAAATATTGTTTTAAATAGTTTTCATGACACTATAAGTGGCAAATATATAGCCTACAGAAAATGATACTGTTAATTTGCTTTAACGAGATTATGTACCAACCTTTCCGGGTATTCCTCTATGATCTTCACTCCCTTGCCAAAATCGTCTGATATAACCTTTAACATTACCTACCAACTTTCTTTTGTAAGGAAAGTCAACTTTCCATGTAAGACTTCCATACCCAAAAATCCACATATATATAGGGAATTTTATAAAATTTTGATTCCTAAAATAAAGGACTACGCTAATATATTAGCCGACGTAAACAACGAAACCCATACATCATAAACAAAAATTTGCAGCAAATAATAAATAACAGTAACCCTTTAATTTCACAGCAAATTTTCGAATAATTTTATAAAATTCACCTTATATCATATTTTTCCTTTTAAAACCTTAGTAATTATATTTATATATTTAATTTCGCTTATTTTCAAATTTAAAATTTATTAAAATATTCTCTATCGTTTTTTTATTTCTCTTTTTAAAAAATCATGTGATTATATATATAATGCAAGAAGTATGCTTAGTTCCTGTATATTTTTTACTAACAATGTTAAATCTTTCTAATCTATAAAATAAAAGAAGACAAGTTTCTTAAATAATTTTTAAACGCAAGCTTTCGGGTGAAAACCCTTCGACGGGCAGTATACAATGATCGCGACGATACAAACATGGTACATATGGCAGACACCCGAAAGCTTGCGTTTAAAAATTATTAAGAAACTTGTCTTCTTTTATTTTATAGATTAGAATATACCGTTCTAAGAAGAGTCTCTTATTTCTTATATATATATATATTTTAAATATTGAGCAATCCATAATAATATCTATAAATAAATATAAGGCGTATATTGGATATAAATTTATTAATTAGCCAATATTTCTAGGGGCAACACGCCTCTCTTTATCAAGGCTTTTCTTTGATTTAAACTAAATCACGTGGGCATGTGATCCACTCACGCTATACAAGACCAAAGTAAGAAACCATCTAATGAAAATTTCACTGTATATAAAATATATTTACAATTGTTATATTTAATAATAATCAAAAGAGTATATAATTAAATAACCATTTGATTAAATAAATGAAGAGACTGATAAATATTAGAAAATAAAATGAGTGAGGATTATGATTCAATATGTTGTGTTGATATATATAAATAAAAATATATTACAAGTATAAATATATACAAAAATAATAAAATAAAATAAAAATAAATAATTTAGGAAGATATAAATTCTCTGTAAAATTTCTGGTAGGTCAATTTTCCTATTTATGCTTTCTGAATCTTTTATAGAGGCCCAGCTTTCTAAAAATAACCTGCAGTGCTTTTCTTTTATATTCTGGTATAAAATGGATGCTTTGTCAAATTCGGGTATATGATTATTGTTCAGTGCATGGTCTACTAGGATAGATAATGGTTTATGGATGCGTAGAGCTGCTTTGTGTTGGTTAATGCGTTCTTTCAATGCTTTGCTGGTTTCTCCAATGTAAGTGGCTGGACAGGTTTTGCATGGAATTTTGTAAATAATATTGTTTTTGTTTTCCTTTTTACTATTATTCTTGGTGTCTGAGTGGCGTAGAATTTGTTTTAAATTTGGTGCAGATTGATATGTGGCAATTATATTATATTTCTTTAATACTCTGGCGATTCTTTCTGATCCATAACTGTATGGTAGAGAGCAATACCTTTTATCGGATTGATCATTGCTATTGTTTGAAAATGGAAATCTGGGAGTGTAAAAATGCTTCTTGATGAATTTCTTCGGATAATTATTGTCTATCAACTCTTTAAAAATTATATTACTTTCTTCGTTTCTTTCAATATTTCTATTTGAGCAATGTGTAGTTAATCTTTTGGAAAGTGTTTTTACTACGGCGATTTTATTGTGAATCGGACCAAAAGAGCTAAAATTTAAATAGTTTCCTGTGTGCGTAGGTTTTCTGTATATGGTGGTTTCTATATGAAGTTCTTTTCTTATTAGTTGAATGTCTAAAAATGCTAAAGAATTATTGTTTTCTATTTCGTGTGTGAACTTTAAATAAGGTTTTAGATTATTCAGAAAATATAGGAAAGTATCAATTTCTGTTTCAGTTATGCAAAATTATTTATTTTTATTTTATTTTATTATTTTTGTATATATTTATACTTGTAATATATTTTATTTATATATATCAACACAACATATTGAATCATAATCCTCACTCATTTTATTTTCTAATATTTATCAGTCTCTTCATTTATTTAATCAAATGGTTATTTAATTATATACTCTTTTGATTATTATTAAATATAACAATTGTAAATATATTTTATATACAGTGAAATTTTCATTAGATGGTTTCTTACTTTGGTCTTGTATAGCGTGAGTGGATCACATGCCCACGTGATTTAGTTTAAATCAAAGAAAAGCCTTGATAAAGAGAGGCGTGTTGCCCCTAGAAATATTGGCTAATTAATAAATTTATATCCAATATACGCCTTATATTTATTTATATATATATATATATATAATCTTAAATCTTTATATAATAAAATTAATATAATTTCTGCAAAAAATTCCAGCCAAAGTCATAAAGAATTTCAATAAATAAATTACATAGGCCTACGAAATTGAATTTTTTTGAAAAATTCAAGAGAAGTTTTAACTGATTTGTATGTTATTTGGTGTGCTTATTTTGAAAATGACCTCCATTTTTCCATAACGTTAGAATATTTGTTTAAAATCTATCTATATAAATAAAATAGAAATATGGGTTTGTTTGTGTGTTCATTATATACTCTACAAAATGTGTTGTTGTTGTGTCCAATGAAGAGCCTCAAATGTATCCATGCATCTCTATCACAGCAGTTGCAATGTCCTCTATCTTGGGTGTGTAAAAATGCTGTTCTGGGTCCATGTCAATTTTCTGAAGTCTGCGGAATTTGGTGCTGTTGTTACAGTTTGTCATCTTGGAAAGGACCAGAATTTTGGTTGAATATTCCAAGGGTCTGTGGGGGCCTGCTGGATGCCGCACCCCGCCGTCAAGAAAAATAAACAAGCGGCGCCATAAATCACCAGGATGACGACCGCTGCGCCAGGGCGGCACAGCGGCGGAATCCAGAGAGGACCAGATGAGCATTCTAGGGTGTTGCCCCTTTTTGTCTTCCCATAAAATGTAGCTAATAAGAAATTCCAATAAAACACTAACCTTGAAATACTTTCTGAGCCATCGCTGGACTAATAAATCGACACACCACATTGGTGAGCCTACGAAGATTTCAAGAGATAAAGAAATGCAAAAATTGATTCAAGCTTGAAAAGAAGCATCATCCAGGATATCGGGATATCATCTCAAGACTAAGATAAGTTTTTATATTACCTTCCTTATTATTTTATCTCAATATTTTTATTTTTAACTTTATCTCTAAGCTGTTGTGTCGAATTTAAATTTACGTAAAATGGAAACAGAAAATAAGCCTAGCGATACCTCAGAAATATGCAAAGTTAGTGTTAAAATACCGCCTTTCTGGGTTGAAAAACCTGAAATATAGTTCTTCCAGGTAGAAGCACAGTTCAAAATAGGTGGAATTATTCAGGAAGACACTAAATTTAATTATTTGATCTCCCAATTAGAACCTAAATATATAGAAAACATTTGGGACATAATTAATAGCAAAAGCGACAACAAGTACTCTGAATGTAAATCACGACTACTTGAATTGTTCAGAGAAAGTGAAGGGTTGAGAATTAAAAAGTTAATTTCTGGTATAGAGCTCGGAGACATGAAGCCGAGCCAGTTATTACAAAAGCTCAGATCCCTCGCTACCCCAGATATCTCTGACAATTTAATAAAAACTTTATGGCTCGATAAACTGCCCACATCCATAAAGAATATACTTATTGTAAGCGATGAGGACATTAGCAAATTGGCCATAATGGCCGATAAAATAAATGAAATAAACTCTTCCAAAGAAATATATGATGCGGAAGTGCCTTCTTCATCAACAGATCGCTTGATCGCTAAATTGGAAGATCTTGAACGACAAGTGTCCGAATTGAGACTGGATAGATCTAGATCTCGATCCAAAAATAGGACTCAGTCAAGACCGAGAAGTAATTCTCAAAGATCCTTCGATAAAAGAGGAAGATATTGCTATTACCATTTTCGCTTTGGATCTAAATGCTTGCAAAATAAATGCAGGTCTCCGTGCAGTTGGAAAGAGTCGGGAAAACTCCAACCGGCGGACAGAGTAGCAACAAACTCTTCCGCCGGCATTCAGGATTGTCGCAATCTCCGATTATTTGTGACAGACAAAAACACGGGATTGCGCTTTTTGGTGGACAGTGGCGCTGATATTTCTATAATACCACCAAAGGATAAAATTAGGATGCCTAGCTCTGACTATAAACTTTATGCAGCCAATG